TATTACTCTGTTAATCAGTACAGTTTGTATTATGTTCAACGAGCTATAAATTTATCTAACTATATCTAAAATGAGCCACATTTGTGCCCTAACCACAATGATATCATGGGAAACCATCACATCTACTCACTCATTTTTGCCTTGCCAGGCAGTATTTTTCATGAAAGCTCCTCAACTTTGCAAATAATATAACTTCCTTTAATAATTTTTACTTACTTTTCAAGTAAATATTTTCCATCATTAACTTGCTCTAAAGGGTTCTGCAATCTTTTCAGCTCTTCCTATGAAAAAAGAAAAGAAGTATCTTACAAATGGACCCCGTGTATTTAGGGACAGTAATACTTGAGGACAATTGTTAGCAAAATTGGAATAATACACTCTGGACTTTGTGGTGGATAAGCATTTAAGCACACAATACAATTTGATCCTTGATCAAATACAAATATAATACTGCCACTTAAATTGTGTACTTTCTTTTAACACTGAAGATTAAGCTTCCTATTATTTCCCCAGACTGAGGATATGTTTCTATAAATCCACCCACACTCTTCCAAAATTTACTCTATCAGTAGATTAATATATTTGCTGGTTGGTGGGCAACAAGACTCGAATGGACATGTAACGGATTTGGTGATCCAGCAACCATTTTCTTTCATCTCTTTGTAACTGTTCCCATCTCTCTTCCTTGTAACCCAAGTCCTCAGGCACATACACAAACATACCTCACCTGAATTTCAGAAATACATAGTCTTAAATCACACTCCTCCAGCCATAGTGATTGGTGCAGGGATGATATGTGACATAATTTGGTCCATTTTCCTGATAAGAATGTTTTTCTCTAGTCTTCTCAATAAAAGAAGGCCCACAGAACTCTGTCCCTGGGACACCATGCTGCCTGAGGTCATACCACTTGCCTCATCACCACAAATTAATGAAGTGATCAGTCCCAGGAAGAAGTCTCAATTTGAATTAGTTACTCATTTGCCCCTAAAAGACCTTTAAAACTAGTTCCTATATGCATATAACCTACCAGATGTGCAAGTTTCCTAAGTTATCCCTTATTACCTACCTAGTCCCTTGAATTGCACACTGCACCCTACATTCCAGAATTTGACATAATTGCCCACCTGTCCACAATCTCTCCAATCTCCCCACTGAGCCCTCTGTAATCCAGTCTGTTATCAGCAAAATACTCAATTTCCTTAACTTCTGAGAACACATCCTTAATTATCTTGTTCCCATTGAACTCTGGCAACTACATTTTTGTTCAAGCAAGAAGATCAAAGAAGTATATAGTGAAGAGGTTTAAGATACAGAGGATTTTTCCTGATGATAAACTTGGCTGAGTCCCAGAACACACCTTGCCACTATAGTCCTCTTAAGACGTGACCAGTTCTTCCCCAAATGCTATATACTAAGAAGTCTGGAGCATCTTCCCATTGCTACTTTCAGGCCCTCCCCACTCCCTACAAAACTTCAGCTCCTCTGAAAACATGCCAGCAGATAGCCCCATCCACCATCCTTCAGGGTAAAATCCTACCCTCCTCCTGGATACTTCCCCTCATCTGCAAAACATTTGCTCCTAGATCCTGGCTTTCTACATTTTCTGCCATCATTCTTGGTTTCAATATTCACATGGTTGACTCAGTCAAACCCTGGCTTCTTTCCTTTACTTCCATCCTTCTGAGGATTTGTGTTCTGTCTTTATATCTGTTATCCACTTCCACTGTCAAACTTGCCACTAGTGAGAGTTAGGCAACTCCCAAAACCAAGATTTCAAATCCA